CATACTTCCATCTTTCTCCTTCTATACATGGTTTTAAATGAGATGATCATAGTTATTAATAGCACTTCCTTTCTATCTATGACAAAGAATTTCATCCCTCAACTTTTTTTTCCGCTCCTTCATCGCCTCTTTGTCCTCCTCCTCCGTCTCCTCCTCCTTTTCCTCCTCCTCCTCTTCCTTCTTGTTTTCCTCCTACTACTCCTTTTCCTCCTCCTTCTTCTCTTCCTCCTCCTCCTCCTCCGCATGAGTTACATTTTCAAATTAAAATGCAGTTCGGTTGTCCCTCGAATACAACTCATCCCCACCCAACCCTAAAGTTAGGTTGTATACATACACAATTTTCCTTGCCTTGGAGCAATATGCGAAATTATGACTGAAACGCATTGAAAACTGAAACCCATGATTGTGCCATAATTTTCCTGGAAAGAAAAGGGGTCGGGGGAAGGGCGGCGGCTGAGGGTCATTGCATCGTCGTGTTCCGTCTAGCCCTACTCCTGACCTTTTTTTTTTATCAATCAATCAATCAGTCAATTAATCATTGAATAAATCGACAGATCTTGATTGATTGATTGATTGATTGACTGAAAAAATTCAAAAAATAAAGAACGAATCTCGTCAATCGATTTAGGTACGTCACTAATTAGATGACGAGGCATTTGACTACCTTCAGACAGTTATAGTTACTCCAGTCGTTCACCAAAAGATGATATGCTGTTTTTTGCTTGTCGGTATAAAGTTGACGAGGCCGAGGTGGAGAAGGAGGAAGGAAGAGGCGATGGAGGAGGACGAAGAGAAGGAGGAGGTGATGGAGGAGGAAGAAGATGAGCATGAGGAGGTAGAGGAGGAGGATGGAGAGGAAGAGGTGGGGATGGAGGACAAGGAGGAAGAGGAGGCGAAGGAGGAAGAAGAGGAGGAGGAGGAGAAGAAGGAGGAGGAGAAAGAGGCGATGGGGGAGGAGGAAGAGGAGGAGGAGGAGGAGGAGGAGGAGGAGATGATAATCGCTTGTTATGTCTGAGAATAACAGCGGTAATTCGCAGTGTGACCAGTAATACGCGATTTCTAGCAGGGCCGCGGACGCACACGATCATGGTAATGCTAAAGCTAAGACCTATCCTACCTAAACTAATTAAACATGGATGTTAAGCCGCGCAATTCAGTGCCTAGGTACACCAAAAAGAGCGGTCGCGTCATGTCTGAGGCAACGACACAATCATGTGAGGCTCGACGCTTGTCTAAGAGGGTGGACGACCGGCTTGGTAAATGGTCGGCGCAGGCTGGGTCTGCGATGCTGCAGACGGGCGTTCCACAGAGGCGGAGCCCTTCATGAAGAAGAGTTGCTCCTACCTCACCGTGGTAGGAGCTAGCCCAGTAGGATGAGATGCCATGTTCTCGCCCAGCGGATACCGGGATTGAACGTGACAGTGCCCTATTTGGACCATCTCCTTTTGGAGCTGCCCATTGGGGCGGGAATGAGGCCCATCGATTTCAACCACGATATCCTCAGATCTCGCGATCGAAAAAGGTTGCGCAGATACTGCATGGCCCCTGTGCAAGGATCATATGCATAAATCGAGAAATGGTCAAATTTTAGTTTTTTGAAGGTCCATTTCGTTCCTAATGGGAATTGAACCCAGATCTGTACTGCAACAGTTTTTGGGTGCGCCTCGTGGCGCAAGGAAACTGAGGCGGCCATTGGTTTAGCACGAACTGGAAAAAAAAAAAAAAAAAAAAAAAAAAAGGAGAGCAGTGAGCACTAAACGCTAAAGTGCTAAGTGACACACTAAGAGGAGTAGGGACTTACAGTCCCTCAAAGGAGGAAAAAAACGGCAGCCATTTTTTTTTTCTTTTTAAGGTAAGTTTGTTTGCTTAGATTTTTTCTAGATTTTTTTTCCCCCCCCTTACATCTCGATTCTTAGATCCCCACCCCTCCTCTCCTCGTTTGACTGGGGTGCCCGCTTGTTGAAAACGAACGGGCGAGACTTCCAACCTCACGACCGGCCTCGAGCTACTTACACCAATGGGTTGAGCAAAATTATTTGAATTTTCCGCTGGAAATTGGAACTGTACAGTACTACCTTGTGTGTGTCACGACGTGTGTGTGCGTGAGAGAGAGAGAGAGAGAGGAAAAGGGGGGGGTCACCTCATTACTTGCGGTTGGCCCCACACAACTTTCAATGATAGGATGAGCAAAGCCGAATGAATCCTCCACTTGAACATGGAAATATACATTGTCACTTTTTTGCTGCCCCCTCGGTGGTTTCCACGATCCAGCCCAAGATGACGAACAGACTGCCAACGAAAAAGGGTAAGTTCGTTTTTTTTTTGTTTTTTTTTTCTTTTGGATTTCTTAGATCCCTCACCCGATTGCATGGCCGTTGGACATGGGCAATAGGGAATGAGGGGAAAGTGGCAGTTGTGAGTCACCTAAAAAAAATAAAATAAAATAAAAAATGGCGAAAAAAACGGCGAAAAAAAAAAACGAGGCAGTTGTCTCACAGTTGAAAGAAAAACAGTATTTTCATACTGTGTGGGAGCACAATGGTTCCCACTTCATTTTGAAACAAATGTCTTGGATCTCGCGGCCCACACTGCGTGCGGGAGAGAAAGAGAGTTGGAGGGGGAAACGAGAAAGTTGGGAGGGGAGGTCCTACTCCCAACCTGATAACAACCCTCCCCGTTTTCGAGGGCAAGAAAAAAAAAATGAAAATGTTGTCGATTTCAACAGCATGCACCTGACTACGGTAAGGGTCAGGCGCGTGCAGTTAGGTGTAGGTTTATTTTTATTTTTTTTTATTTTATATTTTTTTTCTTTTTGTAGAATTCTTGTGAGGACACTTGTCCTCACGAGGTGTAGGTTCCCGTTTTAGAGGGAATCTGAAAATTGAGGGGTCGGAGAGGAAAAGGCCAAGAAGAACCATTTCCCCGATGTATCTGCCCTAGGAAACTGGTCCAGATACATCAAACTGGAAGGAGTTATATCTGTCCAACCCATTATCAGAAAAATAAAAGAAAA